TAATTTTTTTCAGCAGTTGTCAGGGAACTTAAATCTTCGAATTTTCATCTTTCTGGCCACTTTAAGGATATTTCTCACTTAGACGTTGGGTGAAATTCTAAATTTGGCCAAAGTTAGGTAATGGATGGGGTGGTATTATGGCATCTTAATTCCTTCTTATAATACATTACTAATTAATACCAGTTCTAACAGCCTTCACTGATCTCAAACAACAAATGACTCATACTTTCACTTGTGTAACTAACTTCTGATTTACCTCTGAATTAATCATTTAAAATGTAGCAGTGATCTAATCGCTGTGACCTGAATAAAGTGTAACTCAAGCAGCACTTGTGGAAGACTTCAGACTGAGGATGTACTTGCACATCAGATTGCCTCCAGCTACAGAAACAGCAGATAAGCCCCTGTCCTATGTTCCGCTCTGCTTCCAAGAAGGCTTACGAGGATGAATCATTTTGACTCACCGTGGCTGATTGGTCTCTCCTGCCCCTGAAAAGAAGCATAAATTGAAATCTCATTACTCTGTGCCCCTTTGTGTCATTCTGTTAATGCGTGGTTCATCTGAAAACACAAGATTCATTTACATTTTTACTGTAAATCAAAATACTATATAACTGAAATAAATCATCAATCAGGTGTTGGTCCTCAAGTTAAAATCAAAATTTCTACTTTTTTCCCTTAAATATAGCTTTAAGGTAATTCATTTTATTGTTGTTCTGACGGCATCTCTGTCTAAAACTAAGGTCTGGAAAATGTCTCCACCAACATTTACTGTACTGTCTAACAGTCCAGCATTTGTACATTACTGCCTCCTAGTGATTATAACTGAATGTGGACGGGGTGAACACAAGTGTCACATAATGAGATATGACTTTTATTTGTGCGTGTTCTCTTTATCTACCATTTACTTAAGTAAATGTATTAATACAGCACTTTAAATATAATCAGTTACATATCAAAGTCATGCACTGAAAATGGATATAATCAGGAAGATGTACTTAAAACTGGCCCATGTGACTCTACAATGACAAACAAAAGGCTTTAAAATGACTGAATGATTGAACAGTACAGTGCAGATTATTTTCTCAATTAATGAACTGATTGTTTGGTTTGTAAAAATTCTGAAAAAAAGCGAAATATATGTGAAATCAACAGTCTAAGCTTCAAAACTATTATAAGTACATTAAAATTGTGAAAATAATTAAAAGGAAAAGAAGCAAATCTCTGAGCTGGGAACGGTTTGGTATTTTTGATTGAAAACTGGCTTAATGACTGTTATTTATCTGTCATGTAATACTGATCGAAATACTTCTTCCACCACTGACTATACAGCAGGAA